TTGGCATAAGCCTATTAAGAAAGCATCAGCAATATGTGAATTTGCTGATTTGATACACTTTCAGGAAAGAAACATCTTTTCCTTTTTTTTCCCACAGAGCAAATAAAGATATACGGATGGAAGAACACATGACTGAATTCTAACTTCTCATGTTAATTAATACATCAGTAAGAGGAACAAAAATATCTATAATTTTGCATTGCATGAGAAGTATTTGCTTTCATGATCAGGTAATAATTTCTCATCTTTACAGTGAAGTTAGAAATATTGAAATTAGACCTTTAAATTAATTTAATAATCAGGATAACAGTTCACTACATATGCCATAGAGGTTAAATATCATCAGTTGTACAGCTTTATAATCCATTTATTGCCTTCCTCGCACACTCATTACATAGATTCTTTTCTGTGTCAATGTTATTTCATTTCAAAATCCTTCACTCTTCCTGTTCCTGAAGCAGCTAATCCAAATCCTTAGTAGATTTAGCACATTAGCCTTCTGGCACCCATTTCAGACCTCATATTAACTTTGACTTCTGTCCTTTCGTGCTTCTTTAAGCCGTATACCCTAAAAGCTGCTGTATAAAAGCCTCACACACTCCTGTATCTAAAGCATAAGTAATATTTTTAAAAAAGGCTTAACTGTTCTAATTTCTGTTCTAATTTCTTTACCATCTTAATTATAAGTGACTGTCTCTAGTTGATTCAAATCTATTCAAATGGAGATCACGTGTTCTATGATGCCACTCTTCATCCTAGTCTAAGCAGAACAAGAGACAAGCATTCCTCTTTGCCAGAATATTAGGAAGATAAGGAATGGCATTCACCAACTTCATTCTTTCTCTCTAAGAGGGGAATCTCAGTGATGCCATGCTCTTCCACATTTTATGCACTCAGCCATGTTGCAAAATAAAACAGAGGGAACTGTTGCTCACATTTTCAATGGTATTCTCTACTGACAAAAATTCTAGCACATATCATACACTTACTCACTAGCAGCCCTAGCATTTGGCCTCAGTCAGTTTCCTTCTCCCAATGGAATATCAACATGGAAGATTTTTTTTTCTGAAATAGAGGCCATATTCCTCTTCCAAGTTCCTCATTCCAAGTTCCAGTTTGCTATTCGCTTATTTTTACTGCATTCTTTTGTGTAAGATTGCTCTGTCCAAAGGCCTATTGGCTATTTCTTGAACTGAAAGTGTCATCAATAGGCTGGTTACTTAGCCTTTTTTAATCATAGGAATGGATTTAACCCCAGCCACAGCAGTACTCCTCTGGAACACCTCATCACTGTGATCCTTTTCAATTATGGACTGTGAACAGACACATCAAATTCCCTCTTTTTTTTTTTTTTTTTTGTACCAGATAGATCATGCATGGTTTAAAAACTCCTTTGACTTTACCAGTATTGATTAGGGAAGATCTGGACTGTTCCCATGCTGCTTTACATCCTGTATATCTAACTGCCTCACTGGCTATGCATCTATATTTCACTGCAATCTGATTACAACAGACAACTGTCTCTTGATTTTCACTACGATTTCGAGGCAAGAAGCAGTGAGGAACATATGGCACCATTACTAAAAGACTGGGATTTTTGTGCCTTCCAATGAACCAGCTGACCTCTGACTTGCAATTGGTAATTTTCTGACTTTTTGAATTTCAGTAGTTAATGCTGCATAAAAAATGTCAGTTAGCTTAACAACCTGTACACATGCAGCATAACATCTTTCAATAACACTGTCTGCCAGGAGTCACCATCTGCACTTCTGCTGAGAAAATATCACACGAAGTTATACACTAAGCTAACATGGGAATAACAGACAGTATTTCTCACCAGAAATATCAAGGTGAAAGACTCCACCTTGATTTTCAAGGTGCACAATGATTCAGATTTTTAAATTGGTTCCATTAAATTCCAAAGCAGACAAAGCAAGGAGAGTAAAATTATTGGAGCAAGGCCTTTTGGAATGTAAGGCTTTTCAAGCCCATGACATCCAGTTATGCCTTCCTATGGCATGTTCTGACAGAGTGAAAAGCAAAACTACTCCATCCATCAGCCTTCAGAAATCAGAGTGATTGAGGCATGTAGATGTGGAAATTCAAGCTTTGTTTTGACTAATGCAGGTACAGCTGCTTAGCCGGTATAATCTGGTATAATCTGATAGGGTATTGATAAAAACATTATTATTATATAGGTCACTGAAAATAATGTCTCCTATTTATTTCCATGGAAACTACACAGAGATACAAAGAGCACAATGACACTATTTGATAGAGCAAATTCTCAGCTACAAAACACTATTTTTCATTAGCTAATCTGCATGGATGAGCTAATAAAAACACTTCATTTTGTGAGGTGACAGCTGTGCATGGCACTGGAATTATTTTGCCTTTCACACTACTGTCACCAGTACTGAAACACACCATCCACAGCCTCACCATGCTCACATCCACTGTTTGGTCTCAGCAAGCATCCATTAATGTAAATGGGTACAATTTTTTTTTTTCCTGCATGGAGAAATTCAATGACACACCTTTGGTTCATACACACTTCCACATCAGATGCTATTTTGTCAGATTGCTCCTCTTCTGCTATCTGTTGCACAGCATCAAAATGTAATGGAATTTTGGTTGGAAGGTTCAACCTCTACTGCGATGCCACCAAACATCTACCCCTGACATCATAGGACAACATATCTAAAAGGGAGGCATTACTTTCGGATGAGCCCGCATACAGATATCACAGCTCTCTTTCTACTGAAATTCTCAGTACTCTGTAAATTTTTTAAGAATGAGAGCCAGCAGAAACAATATTGTTATGGTTCTAAACATGAAGAATAAAATCCTTTTATTCCTGAGTATCCTTATTGCCATTGTAAAGAACCACACATGGCAATCTGATGGAGAAGAGACAAATGCAATTCTAGCCAACTGTTTTTTTTTTTTTTTTTTAAAACTTGTATGCATGACTGCCAACATACAGGAACACACAGGAACTTGTACTCTGCACCTCTGCTACTTTGTAAGAAGTACTTTCCTGAAGAAGTCCTCTATACCTGTGAAAACAGGATCTCCCTACCTATGTGATAATGCACACTTTGTTTCTTTGTTACTGTCTGAGACAAAGTATGTTTGGGGGAGGATAAAAGCCACATAGAGCTGGTTCTGAGGGTACTAGATTTACCTTAAAACTTCTCCATGATTTGTGTTCCCTTTATAATAAATAGCTGCGCCAGAATAACTTCCATCATTATGCCTCCTCCTTGTTCCCTTTCCTATTTTATACATACATACACAAGCAACATCTACTAAAGAAACATACACTGCAGAAGAATTTAGATTTTAAGCTTTAAAGGAGAAAGTTCAATAAGGTTTTGATAACAAGTTGCCCAGAGAACCAGTGAAGTACCAACCCCGAGGGTGTTTAAAGAAAGGGTAGATGTAACACTTAGGGAAATGGGTTAGTGGGCAATATTGAAAGTAGGTAGGGAATTTGACTAAGAAAAATCATAGAAGTCTTTTCCAAGATTTTATCACAAGCTACAGACTTACTTAGCATATCTGAACAATGCAAATGCCTCATCCTTAGAGCTTCTACATCAAACAACATTAATGACAGAAATTTCATTTTGAACCTACTCACTATAGAAAATCATATATAGACTTCTACCTCACTGAAAGCTGAGAAGCTGTTCAAATAAATTATTACACCTTTCCATTGTCATGAGGCTTACTGAAAATTCAGTTGAACTCAGGACAGATAGTTTTAAAATCTGCCAAATAGAAGCCGTGCAGCACCACACAAGTTTACCCAAACTAGCCAGCCTATTACTTGAGAGAAACATTCCCAGCTAAGTAGCAAAGGTAGAACAACACAACAGAACACCAACACAGCTGCTTCTGCCAGTTCTTCAGTTAGCAAGATATAAGGTGCACCAAGGATCTCTACAGAGCCAGGATCCTACAGTCAAACACACACTTGCTACTCCATATGCAAAGATAAAACTCATGATCACAAGAACAACCTGCACTATTTTACACTTTCAAAAAGGAAAAGTTAAGCCACAAACAATTCAGTCATTTGTTTGTAACAAAGATTCTATCAGTGCTGTGAGTTACAGCAAAAATTACTGTTGTGTGTAGAAAATGAAAGAGAGCTACAATCAGTGCTTGTTAGAAAGCTTTTGACTGCAAAGCAATTTGTGCTTCAATATTTTATACAAATGTTTAGCTTTTAAAGCAAGTATCACCAAAGCCAGACATTATTGGAGGGGGAACCGAGGGCTCATAGGCCCACAGAAGTGCTACCATGGCAATGCCTGTGGATGACTGTTAGCAAACATAACAATAGCAAGTTAATAGCGTCTAAAAATTACACAAAAAAAAATTAAGATTCCTTCTTAAAAAGAAAAGGGTTATCTAGGAAGCAAAGCGCAGCACATTCAAGTTTCTTACTTTGCTTCTAATCCTTTAAGGATCCTCTTACAGATTAAGCATTTTTCAAGCACCCACTCTTCATTCCTGATGCTTGGCACAACAAACGACCACTCTTACCATAAGTTGAATTACCTAGTTCACATTTTGAATATCCAGACAGGCATAGATAACAGCAACACTCCACTTCCACATCAATAACATCTCTATGCTGAAAAATATGCAATTCTGCATGCAATTAAACTACTCTATAATTACAGAGTCCATACACACCACTTTAGAAGTCTACCAGAGCAATATTGTAGAACACTGGGCAGGAAAGGAACATTTGCTCAAACTGCAACAAACCAAAACCAACTTAATCAGCAGTTGGCTGCCAAAATTCTCAAAGGCCACACTGCACATATTATTATCCTGAAGCAGAAAACCATTTATTCTTAAAAATCTATCTTACCTCGAGCCTATGACCATTCTTCAGCTAACAGAAATTGCTCTATTTTTTCCTGAAACCAGATCAGAGTAGTTCTTTCCAATGATGTTTCTATAAAGAAGGTTTGACTCACCTGTTCCTGATTCCTCATCTCCTACAGCTGGGTCAATTTTCTACCACTCTTCAAATGTAATTTAGGTTAACACCTTCATTACTGGAAAAAAAGTAACAAGTAGAAAAAATGTTTAGAAAAATAAGGGCAATGTCCTAACGAGTATTGCAATTTATAGATCAATTTGTAGCTGTTTATTCATCAGTCTCTTTACAAGAGAAAGAAAAGACTGGTTCTGTAGTTGTACTTGTGATTTTTCTGCATCAATTTCTACATTTCACAAAACTTCAAGGACTGAAGACTTCAAGACTTAAGTATTGCATTTATCAAAACAGCTTTGCCAGCATACAATAAATTGATAACTACTACTTGGAAAAAGTCAGATCCAGTAATAATTGTGGGCAGACAGATTTTCACCCCACTGACCATTTGCACAATTCAGTAATTCTGTCTTTGCCACATTAGAGATTGCATCGATTTTATTTGTCTTTGGTTCCTCAGCAGTGCAAGAAGTAACTCATCACCTTACTAGAGTTTAACAAGAAACTTCTGGAATCCTCAGCTTCCCTTTAACTTCACAGAATTCTTGAGAGGTATGTTAAGTTAAGCATATCTAAATTCTGATTTCTTTATAATATAAAGAAGAAATAACGGCCTTACGGTGAAGCTTACCCTATGTAGGGATGCATGCCTTTTATTACCTAGCTGTTAGCAACATATGCTCAAATTATATTTGTGCTTGAAAAAGGGAAGTTAATCACAGGTGAAGCAACACTTTGAAATACTGCCTTTATTCATATATATTTTATCAATGAAGACAAGCAGGCTTCTCAAATCTTCAAGAAAGATGGGATTACAGTGTTTTGAGATAACTTTAAAATTTTAGGAGGCTTAAGTAAGTGTTTAAACCATCAGAGACTTTTCCAACTATTCAGGCTTAGAGAACGTAACAGTCAGATCAACACAATGGAATGATGTTACACGAGATGTAATGACAAAGGGAGTAGCAGGATGAAAAAGGTGTTACAAAGAAAAAGGGAAAGCGCTCACCTATCTCTTTTTAGGCTCGCAAGGAAAACTCCACACACAAGGGAGGGATTTCCAACCAGAGATCTGTACCCAGTGGCAGTCAGTCCTTAAGTGAGGTCTAAGAGAGGTGCAGCCAGGCTCCACTCCTTCTGGTCACACAGCTGAATTGCCTTCACCTGTGCTCCCAGGGCTGACCAGGTCCTTTCCCCAGGTGCTCAATCAGTGGTTCAGGCCACAACTCAGCAGTTACCATACAGAGAGTCAGAATTGAACCAATTTACATGAACTCAATTTTGCTTGAAAAGCGCAGGAATAAGAAAAGTGAAGCATGCTGGAGAACTTCAGAGGGAACTTACAGTGGATTCAAGGGAATACTGAAGGAGATCATAGTGGAGAGCGGTTTTAATTCAATAACCTACTTCAATCTCTCCAAATGACTGCTTACTTTAGGCAAACTGTAATCAAATCAGGTCTCTATCAACCAGTTGCTAGGCTGCTAGTTAAGATGAACCACTCTTACAATCACTTCAATACTTTCCAGCTCTCCCAAAGAACCACTGCTGGCAGACACCACGAGCTATGATTTGTCTTGTTCTCCGTTTTATTCACACAAGTTCTCCCATCTCTAATTCCTATACTGATTCCAGAATTTGAAATGACTCTTTATGGAAGTATTTTTAAGGAGTTTTAAATTCTCAGTATTACCATGAGTTTGGAAATGAAGTGGAATGAACTGGTATTTATCCACAGGCTAGTTTCCTACCATTTTTCTATTCTATTCAAAGAATAGAATTCTTAGAGCAGGGATACTACAGAGTTTATCAACTCTTAGATTTTTACTCCAGGAAAAAAAAAAAAACAAAAATAAGTGCTTAAACGCAGGCAAAACCAATGAAAAAGGGACATGACTCATAAAAAACAGCCAATTCATAGAATCCTCTTCAATTTGTTACCTTTTCTAGCGTCTCTAAGTTTTAAACTTACAATTTCATTTAACATAAATCAGTAGTTGCACGTATGTCAACGGTTTATGGGCTGTTCAGCCCAGTTCTGTGACTAAATGGGGGGGGGTGGAGGGACCCATGGACCCATGCCCCAGGAGAGGGGGAATAGGGAAAAAGGGTAAAAGGTAGAGAAGTGGACCTAAACACAAAACAGTGGCAATGAGCTAAAGGAGAAAACTATACACTGTATACAATACTTTAAATAAATCAGTGTATAAGCTAAGATATTTAGGAGAAAGTAAAAGGTAGCCAATCTGATTTCCCTACTCCATGAAAATTTCCTTTTTTGCTTTTATTAGGCTTTTGCCCGGGACCAACCTACCCAGCAAGGCAACAGCTTTCTTGTCATGGGACCCCTTTTTCTTCTCATGGTTCTGGGTCCTCTTGGGTCAATGCTGTGTCTGCCAACTGCAACTCAGGTTTGATGATCCTAGTGTTATTTACTGTCCGTAACTGCCTAATTGGCACGTGCTGCTTCAGTCAGAGTTCAAATGTTCTAATTAGCATTCACAATAGCCTCAGAAAAAAGAGAGCAAGTGTCTGCTGTGCTTTGTTTAGATATCTCCTGTTTCATAAAGAGCTTTTATCCACGGAAAATCTTGTGATGCCCGACCTTGATAAGTCTGGAAAATTTTGCCTGGGCATGCTGCCAGACATTTTGTTCAATATCTAAGCTTTTTTCCCTCTTAGTCTTCTTGTTGTACTTTTTTTTCCCCTTCTAACTTCTTGGCCTTTTTTTTTTTTTTTTTTTTTTTCCTCATAACTACTTCAGGTATCACTATGCTTATGCAGAGGCATTGAAATAAAGATCTAGATTTTGAGTCTTTTCCCGGCTACACTTCCTCAATCACTCCCTGTGAAACGTAAGAATTTCCTTCTTTATTTGTATTGCATATAGCCTTCTTTTAGTAGAGACTTCAGTATAAGTATTCAAAAACAGACTTACTCAGATTTACTTTTCATAAAAACAGATCTGAATGATACACATCACCATTTTTTGATTTATATGCAAAGTGGATGCAGTCCTCTACACCAATTATTCTGCAGATTAAATTAGATTGAGCATTCTTGCCACAGTTTGTACGTATGTTGCGGCAAAAAGTATAGAATAATGTCCCACATTTCCAATAGGGATCCTCAGTCTTTCCCATACTGTTGCACTATAGATAACCACTTGACAGTTATGCCTTCTCTGTCAGAAGGTCCGGCTTAAAGAATTTAATAGTTACAATTAATAATATAAGACTGATATAAATAAAGACATAAATGCTGAGAGTACAGGGTACTTTCAGTTTTTCAGACCAAGGGCATTCAGCACTTTGAGGAATTTGTAGGAAAAGAGCACCCTGCACTTTTAGCAAGGCACTGATGTAAGGTCTTATCTTTCCTTCATCAAATAATGAGCATTTTGCTGCGTTTTTACTGGATCAGATCCATGTTATTATATTTATAAAATAATGCATACCACATTATGGGTACACCCTACACAAATGCAAAATCAAGGCACACTTGTATTTCAATTGATAAAACCCACAGTTTAGCTTTAAAACACTATGAAGGTGAAAAGAAGTAATGGTGCTTACGTTTGACATAAAACGTCATCATGACAAGATAAACCACTTACTACTTCTGAAACTGAGAAGAGTTCTCTCTACTGTTTTGCAGCCTGTTATCTTTGGGAACCTTCCACGGCTTTATAATATGTTCCTTCTATTTACTGAACTTACTGAATAATTTTTGCTTTTATCCCCATTTATATAATGTGATTACATGTATCTTAGGCTGGTAAGTCCTGGCTTATTTTATTCCTAGGAGTTCTGTTAAACATCAAAAAGCTGAACTACTGCTAATATTCTTTAGTAGGAACCCAGGAGACACGTGAAGTACAAGAAAAAAAAAGGACACTGTAGCAAATCAGAACTTTGAAATTTGAGGCATTGGGAAATAATAGCTGTCACCAGCTTGCCAACACTTTTGTATTGATGTGCTGAAGGTAACATTTTATGAATCTCTGAGCCTGCCAAAAGACAGACAGTATTTGAAGGAAAGCTGGAGGAAAAAACATAAAAGGAGATTGAAGCAGACAGAAAGACGGAACCTTGGAAGCTTAAACAGAAAATGATTTTCTAATTTCTCTTCAGGACTGTGGATTATCTAGGCAATTGCATTAAGAAAAATGCCAACCAACTACTGAACGTCTGTGTAGACAGGATTAAAAAACTTCAATCTTTAAAGGAAAAGACAATGAAAAAACACTGCATCAAGTCCTAGCTCAAACAAATGTCCAATCCCACCCAGAGAGAAATAAAAGCCTATCCAAGCTAATCTTGTATGCTCTCTGAAGACAGGATGTGCACTTCACCCAAACTAGATCCTCTCAGATCCTTAGGAGAAACTGTAACTTTTCAAGCTTTATACACAGTTATTAAATTACATGCAAGGTGAAGTGAAGATTTGCTTTTTTAAAAAAAGAAGGATGTCTGCCTGAAGCTATAGCAAATTAATATTGTTGACCTTGGCTCTGACTCTGCTCCTGTTTAAGTTAACAGAAATACTCCTATTGATTTCACTGAGATCTGGATCAAGCCTCTTGTTGAAGCAAAATTGAAAACTGTAGGTTAGAAAAATTTCAGGCAACACTAGGATTGCTGACATAAAACAGGACATTCTAATATCAAAGAATTGGTTTTTCCAGGTTGTTCTCTTTATTAACAAGAAAACCTTGTTTATGCATCCAAAAAGACAGCGGAATCTTGATTAACTGCGATAAGACATTTTATAACTATTTTTAAATGCAAATTAAATCTGTGACTTCATGTATGCAATAACATATACATAGAGCATTTGATAGTCCTGGGCAGATTAGGAAGATTCACCTAGTCTGATAACATGGGATAACTTCTTAGGACCATATCTGAAAGTGACTATTCTAACTTACTGTCTATGAGAAATCTCTTTACTATTCTAGTGAACTTCATAGGTATAGACTGTACTGCTACATTACTAAACTGTTCATTTGAAGTATGGAAGGCTTAACTTAAGCTACTGTACATGGGAGCAGAATATTGTGTTGAATCTACTGTGAATATGAAACTACTCTATCACTATTTTGCAGGAATGTAATTTTTCTACATCAATTTTCCAAATTAACATTTATCCCTTACAGCTTTTTATAGTAACATAAATAATACACTCACTGCATGCTTACAAATCTTGCTTAGGGATTTCAAATTGTTATATATGATATTTAACGTTAACTCACATTTCCTGCTAAAACCCGGGTGACCACATTCAATAACCTCAATCCCTAAAGAGCTTTCTGCTCAGTGTGGACTCGAATGAGGGAGAAGCAGCATCCTCAACACTTTTTTAATCTCAGGAATGATAGAGTGTAAGAGTTAATTTCTGTTTATCATCTGAGTGGAGGAAATGACCTGTATTATGGCAAAAATATATTATATATAAAAGTATATTATATATATTATGTACAAGGGGAGGGAAAGCACTACTGTAAGTTCTTGACAGAGCTTGTTGCTGAAGTTGGCTATCTTGATTATCCAGTAATGCAGAGCACAAAGTACAGCTATGATCATGGATTTCTAGACAGAACAAAACAATTTCTTATTCATAATTTTCTAGCTTTGATTGCCTATCTTCAGAGTGCATGACTTATATTTTTAAGTAGATGGTTTCAATGGCTTATATTAACAAAATCTTTACAAGGTGGAAGCAAATGCCTCTTTAAGGAATCCACACTTCAGAGAAAACAAAACAATTCTGTATTACAAGTAAGCAGGATTTATTTCTACTGATAATTTTTTGTTATGTAGTGTTATTGATGCTAGTATGTATATAGTTGAACTAATAAAAGACTATTAAGATTCAATACAAGAATATCCACTGGACTTTGTCACTAGCATAAGCAAGAACTGTAATCAAGTGAATATTACTGATATATTTACTTTGATACTCACCATTAGTGTCTCTAGTTCTTCCTCGTAATACAAAGAATGGGGGAATATCTCCAAAAGTACAGAGATGCAGGGGCTTCACCCTCTCTCCACATCAAAGTACTGACAACAAGTAAGGGACAGTGACTGGAGTAATGGGATTGGGT